CAGTTATAAAGGTTTATCAAATGAATGATTAAAAGAATCTTGAGCGAAACAATGCGGTAACATCATGATAACACAAAGCGAGGACTAAAAGATCATTTGCATGTCCTTGGCAGCATACAGCGGTATTTCGCCTACTTTATTTTAATGACTAGATAGCTGCCCTAAATTAATCTGTTAAACTCTGGCGAATTGTCTCCGATACAGAATACTTTCCTTTGGGGAACACATCAAGGAAAGATCTTAAAAAGCTTCTCTACACCTCTGAAATACCTCCGAGATCCTTTAACTGACCTAGAAAAATCTGGCCCATGCTTTTGTTTCCCAGAACCGATCACTGCAATGCACAATACTCCACATCGACGTAACACACCCGTCTCTGTATCACACTCACAAACCAGAAGACATCATCGCACGGCCCTGACCTCCTGCAGATTTGACTTCATTGGCTCAGACTACCAGGACTCTGCCAAAAAATAACTTTCTTAAAAATCAGGAAAACAACGAGCCATTCAGCACCTCACACATTTACCTGATCTGTAAACCTGGTGCACTTTTCCGCTCGCCGAAGCAACAGTACTTTCTATTCTTCAAATTCCAAATTCAAACCGAGCCACCCACTCACTCCTGGAGGGTTCCCTGACTTTTGGGAAATGGTTTCAGCAAATCAGGCCACTCATTATTGAAGTCCACGGACGGGGCCGACTTATTTAGTGCAGCCAACTGTCCACATTTGCTCGCTGCACTGTAGAATCGTCTTGTCCTCTGATTCCCTCCACTGCTTAAAGTGCCTCAGAGCTCCGAGAGCGGATCTGTGTCCAACGGTTTATTCCTGTGGATATCATGCAACCATGTTCACTAGCTCTGCAACAAATTCTGCCATTGTGCAGGACGAAATACGGGATGCAGTAGGACATTTGCACAGGATAACCTTCTCGGTGTGCCGACAACAATGTAAATAGAAAGAAACGAGGAATAAATTGCTTTAAACACCACTACATCATAGATGTAAACATGTGCAATCTACATTCAAATGTATATTTACCAACTTGGAACGTGTACTAAGCCGTCTGTTTTGTAGCGTGATGCGTCCTGAGGGCTCTTTAGCCTGAACAATTTTGACGGTAAGGTGTGGAAAATCTTGAAAGGCGATGCTTGAACTCTTAATGCAGTGTTCTGTGCAGAAGGAGACAGATTAGGCAGCGTAGCCCAAAGCCAGAGCCTTAATTTGGGTAAAGATCAGTGAAATCCTTCTAAAACTCCTAAAACATTCCAGATATTTACCAAAACTGTGGAATCCTTGGCAGCTACAGGCCCATTGAATACATCCCAAAAGCATGAGTGTGTAGGGACTACCGGTATTTTTGCCTGGGACATTACTAGTAGACATGAACGCCTGATGTCCCCTCAGTAACAAAACATTACCACAAGTGGGTTGCCATGTCCTGTACAGACATCACGTGTCCCACTGACTGTCCTCTGTGGAGTTGATTCATGATGTTGCCAAGTGCAGACTGAGAGGAGAATAAAAATATGGCCTCCAATTGAGCCCAAAGAGACCCAAAAGGTGAAATCTGTTGAAGAAGATGAATCACTTTCTATTGTAATGGATAAAAAAGAGGCTAGCCCTCTCACAAAGTTCAACCCACTATTGTCAGCACCTTAAAACAGATATAGACTGTAGCAGTTTTAAGGGGGGGAGGTGCCAAGACAAAAGTTAAAGTTACTAATTGTATCCTCACCACGCCAAACGGCCGTATACATTATAATATAAATAAAAATCTGCTGTTTTGTAACTTCAGTAGTCTGACTGATGTACGGATCATAAGACAACGCAGCAGGGACGTGTAAAAAGCGATGCATGTTCGCTTTGTGTTTATTTTGCAACTCTTTCTGGGTGTGCATCTGTTTTTATTCTTGTTTCTTTGTAGTTGTTTGACATCCAACAACTGTTAACAAGCCACTTCACAGAGAGTACCTAATCCAAACAGCCACGCTCGGGCAACACTGACCACTCAAGATAAACGCACAATGTTGATGACTAAACACGAACGCTTCACACCTAATGCCTGTGAGAGGAAAGAGATCACAACGGTGTTAGATGGCTATTGTATATTGTATTAAAGGTAGTTTAAGACAAGTGCCTGCCAGAGTCGGCAAAATATGTTTTGTGCTAAATTGAAATCTCGTCATCCTTACAGTGCAGAACCCACTGCATTTACTGTATACCTACGTGTACAGGAAATCAACAGAACGTGCATCATCGTAATAATAATAAGTTAATTTTATATAGCGCTTTTCTTAGTACCCAAACCAAAGACGCTTTACAAATGTTAAGAGAAAGTGAAACAGGGAAACAAACAAATACTCTTAGGAAAAAGTGGGTCATGTGGTCCATGGTGGGGGTGTAGGTTTCAGCAGTTGAAGGCACGTTTGAAGAGGTGTGTGCTTGAATGATAGGAGGGTGTTCCAGAGGAGAGGTGCAGCAGCTGAGAAGACCCTGTTGCCCACGCTCCTGATGGTCTTGAGTTTTTTTTTTCTTTTTTTCAGCGTACCGGAGGCAACGGGTTGGGGCGTTGAGGGGGAGGATGTCTGAGAGGTAGGGAGGGGCCACGTTGTTTAGGGCTTTGAAAGTGGTGAGCAATAGAGATTTTGTTCCATTCATGATTTCATATCAGGGGGACAGGTGGGGAGAGTGGAGCGGGGGACCGAGGTAGTGGTCTTGGAATCATGTCTTCATATTTTCTGTTCACAGTTGATGTCACCCAGAGCTGTGCTGATTGAAACAATCAGTCACTCGGGGATATCACTCTAGTTAATATGCAAAAGGTAATGTGATTAAGTATTTAACTGTCACTGAATAATGCAAGCTACCTACCGTGTGTGGGTGTTTTGGAATAGCAGGGGGACGGTAGAAGCCCATTAATCACAATAATACAGCTATAAATGAATTGCGACAAAATGTTGTCAAATGGTCTCTGCATTAAAGGCAAGACGGATGTATTTGTATAGCATAGCAACAATTAAGCAATTCTAAGTGCTTCACATGAAACCATTTAAACCATTAAAACAGGCAAAAGAAAATGACATTTCAAATAAACTAAGTAAAAACAGACAGACTTGAATCCGGTTCAATTAAAAGCAGCAACCAGGAAAGTCTTCAGTCTTGATTTGAAGCAGCTGAGAGTCTCAGCAGACCTGCAGCTTTCTCCAGATGTGTGGAGAAGACATGTCTGCGCGCGCACACACAGGTGTGCACACTTCTACCAGTGGACAGAGAGCACATTGGAAGATGACTGAGTCCGTCTGTCTGTCCCCACCTCCACACCCCCGTCGGTCAGCCCCACAAAATGTAAAAATCTCAAACAAATACGTTAATAAGAACCAGAGCTATCCAACATTGCATGTGCTTTGGTGTGCGTGTGTGTGTGTGTAGAATAATCATCTGTTTTAGAGAGACTTTATGGAGCAAAATAAACTGTCAAATATTCATTTTCAAGGTAAAGTACTACAACGTATTGTCTTTGTTAATCAAAACATAAGGTCCCAAAAAGGGGCAACCATATTTTCTTTTTTGGCAAAGGATCCGGTTGGGGTTGAGCCTGCCAGTTCGCACACATTAGCAACAATTAAGAGTAATTCATCCAGAAGAAATAATCATAAACAATGGCCATTTTGCTAAATAGATGTAGCCCTTAAATGACCATGTAATGAGCAATAAAACATGAAAATAGACAACAAAAAGAAAGCCTTTTTTCAGAGGAGATCATATATAGAGATTTGTAACAATGGCCCTCTGGTGAGACCACAAAAAATGTTTCACAAAGCCATTAATCATGCTACGTCATACAGGCTGTGGAGCCATCTCAGCGCTGAGCCGGAGAATCAACCCGGTGCTCGAGGCGGTCAATTAGAGCGGCTTGATCAAATATGTCAAATGCTGCATAAGGTCCCAAGACAAAGCATGAACCGTCTCCGGCATCTGCTGTTTAAAGAAGGTCATCCGGGGCCCAAAATGGAATTAACACAGAACAGTGCCATTTATAAAGAGAGTACGTTGACTGCAGACAGACAACGGCGGTTGTCATAATACAATGTCATCACATAAATGTAATATTTCCCTGCTGGTTAAAACTGACCCGCAGTTGATTTTGTCTTTTTTAGCCGAGTAGTGAAATTAACATTGTAAGGCCTAATTGCTTATACCTAGAGGACAATCGTCTACAAATCGCATTAGTAATGATCTACTAATTAAATAAAAGTGTTTATTACTACTGTTGGGCTACAACAATATTGCCATAAGACGATTTTAAAATATTCAATAGGGGACAGTAACAGCATTTTCCAGTGGGAACCTGCCTATACTTTATCCTCACTACACTGTTTTGTTTGCTTAGATATTTGTAGTATTGATTAGTTTGAAAAAAAATAATTGTATACATTTAGCATTTTTGTCATTTATGTTTGTGTAATTTATTGTTTGTGTGTGTGTATAAATGCTGCTGGAGCAAAATAAATTCCCCTTTCAGGATTAATAAAGTAACTATCTATTTATTTAAGCAACCGGGGTCTTGTGTCGCTCGACCCCGGTTGGTTAAATAAATAGATAGTTACTTTATTAATATCAAGTGCCATGAAGTCTCCTCATATTCGAGAGGAGGCGGACATCACTGAAATCTCCAAAAATATGCAACTCCGGGCAAAGCAATCCCGACTGCTAGATAGCACTACATGCAAGAGGGAAAATATATATATATTTTTTCATACTACAAAAGAAAGAAGTTTTTGAAGAGGAAGTCATAAATGTTGCATGCAGCACTTACTAGGAACAGAAAGAAAATGAGAGAAGCTGGCTTCAATGTAATTGTATTAATGTGCAGGGAAGGTTCATACTCTGAATAATCCAAAATGACAAATGTTCTCCAACTAGTTCTGTCACAGTAAAGTGAACTCCAATAATATGCTTAGACGAGATGACTCATGGAAACATGAAACATACTCACCATGTCTGTATCCGACACCGGCCCAAAACTTGTAACAAAGATGTTTGTCCCCACTTCTGTCACACTCTCTGAAGAAAGAAACAAGAACCCGACAAAATGAAGAAGGAAAAAAAAGAAAACATTACAGTGAAGTCTATGTACAAAAAGCTTTGCTCCAGCTCTGTCTTTGATAAGCTGATTGCTTGTGTACACGTCAGTAAAGTCTGCCGGTTGGCATTTAACTAAGCCGGTTCACACAAAAATTCCTAACGAAGGGTTAGAAGAACGCATCAAACTGAGGACAAACTAGATTTATGTAGGAGCGGTGGAGGATTCGTGCCCCTGTTGGACGGCTTAATATCTGAGTTCTTGCCGTCTTTGTGCATCATTTTCTCAAATCCGTGACAACTTTGCTGTGGCAGCGATTGCAGGTTTGGGAACATAATGCTGAACAAATAGTATGCTAAAGGCCTTTTCCAGAAATGCATTGCTAGTCGGCATTGGTAATAGTATTCTCAAGTGTTGTCCCAGGAGGGTTTCTTTAACCTTGATTCTGGGGCAAAATGTTGCTGAGCAGCATCGTAGATGCTTTGGAAAGTCCTTTTCAGTAGGTTAAAACTACCATTTATTTAGCTAAACCTAGTTTTGTCCACTACAGCATAAAACATGCTCTGGGCCAGGCTCAAGTCTGTGTCTTTGGAGAAAAGACGTCCCTTTTGACCCAAAACAAATTGAGTTGGCTTGCCCCAAAAACATTTACCAGTCCCAAAGGGATGACTGGCTAAGGGATAATAAACAGCAGCCATTGTTCAGAATGCAGCTGTGTGCGCGTGTTTTTTTTTACACAAATAATGGGAACAGTTTACTAATATTACACAATTCTATGCACATATTGTAATCCCATGTTGTAGTCTATTGTATGTATCGGGCATGACGGTTACAAGCTTTGTCTGCTCTGTGCGTTTGTAGAGAGCCACTGTTCTTAAATCCTAATCTAATGTTGCATGTTAAGTTGCATTACAGGCTCCATTGCTGCCTTTGTTCCGTTACAGCGTCCAAAGGGGTTGATTAATCATTGTTGTAAGACGTTCCAACTCATCATTATATGGTTAATTACTCAGGACTTTATTAATCGCGAGCTGTGTAATAATTGTTTTTCCAAATACCAGATACTACACAGCATCAGGCAGGGCCTGATGTGATAGTCATGACTGATCAAAATCCCCCCTCTTCAGAGTGGGCTGAATCAGCTCCTCTGGGGCAAATGTGTGAAGCAGGCTTTTGGGCTGTTGGTGAGACAAATAGCTGATCCCTGTGGTGCAACCGTAGAGTGATGAGGCTTTTCTCCAAAAGTGAACAGATCCCCGGCTCCAACTGCGTCCCAGATCTAACTGACCACCCACAGGTGAATTTTTCAATCCTCTGGCAAAGATTCCCCTTGAGGGAGGGGTATCCACTTCCACATTAATCATCCCTGTGACACAAATGGTTCCCGCAAATGCGTGATTATCACAACAGCCGGTCAGCAGTTTGCATGGTGGGGGGAACACAATGCGTTGCCCTGTTTTCTGTTTATGACAAAGCACCAGAGCACCAGGGCAGCGCTAATATATGGTGCTGAAAATTAAATGAAATGGGTTTTCTACAGTTTCTATCCCGTCCGTCTTGTCTGAGGCGACCCCCTCTTGTCACACTAGGACGGTGGCTGAGTGGGGGAGGGAGGGGTGCAGCAGGGGGAGGAAGATTGTTAATGTACACGTTGAAGCTGTGGACTTTGACTGACTCTTGACTCTTTTCGCTTGTGGATGGTTGTACTATCAACGTCTTTATTCTAGACCAGAGGTCTTTTAATTGTAATGTGATATATTTAAAAAAATGAGATTAAAAAAAAGATCTAACTGCAACACAAAACAATTAAATTTATATGGCACATGCAATATCAACTAGATTTAAACCAGAATAATCCATAGTGTTGAGTACTGCTATCTTTGTCAAGAGTTTCTGTTTCTTTCTATCTGAAGTGAAAGATACGTTTATTTGCTGGTTACTTAAATACACAAAGGGGACACTATTATTCTACAAAATATAGACGTAAAGAGGAATTCATCTTATTGTGTCCATCTTACTGCTTAATAAATCATACAAATAGCTCTACAACATAAGCTTTCATACTAATGTTGGCATTGCTAAGCATTTGTTGATCTCTTAGAGCAACGTGATCTCCAAAACCTGTTCGTAAAAATGTATACGAAAATCTTGAACATACAAATTCGTAACAATACATACGAACTGGCGGTGGTTAACCACGCCCCTTGAGTGAACAACATCGCGGACCATGTCGGATTCTTGAGTGAACGTTTCTCCGCCATGTTGGATTTTTTGAAGGGGTTACGGTTAGTATTGTATTCTTACAGATTAACATTGATTTCTGGTTAAAAATGCAATCATAACACGTTTATTTTACATCGTTATACTTCACAAAGTGTGTTTACGGGGTGCAGGTCCCCATTCACTTTGAATAGGGTGACAGTTGCAGTCCGTATTTATTTCGTATGTATCACTATGAATTTGTATGTTCAAGATTTTCGTATAAATTTTTACAAACAGGTTTTGGAGATCAGGCTGCTTAGAGCTAAAATGTCCTTCTAGTATATGAATGAAGTGTAACATTTCAACCAACCCTGGAGGTTTACAGTCCTTCCAGCGCTTGTGGCTTATACTGTTCTAGTTGCTGTTCTTGTGTTTGTCTCCGGCCTGCGATATTCTCTCAAGCCTGCTGGAAAAGCCTGTTTATGTTTAGCTGCACCACACCGCTCTGTACATTCAGTGTCTGCACTACAAAAGGAAAACCATCCGGACCGACAGTCCTCTCACTCTCCGTGCCCTTTGAGATGCAGAATGCGACCAGAACGGCCGGCGTCTGGTTCCTTTCTCCGGCTGCTGTCGTGGAGACCAGGTCCTCCGGCCTGCTGGGTTCGCAGCCTGAAAGCCGAGCTTGTGGCTTCAGCGGCACGCAGCAGAGCAAAAAGGACTTTTCCAGCTGGCTGACTGAGGAAAGGGAAAGCCTGCTTGAGCGTGTGGACTTGCTGTTATGCAGCACCGGCAGGTGCGAAGGTTTGGATGAAATAGTTAGAGAAATAATTTCCACTGACATGTGCTTATTTCCCAATTGGACGTTGTAGAACAAAGACTCCCACCTACTGAGCACCAAGCGACCTGACATCAGTGTGATCTTAGTGTTGGAATTATAAAGTATATCCATAAAATTAGAATGCTGACAAAAGAAAGGAGGTATAGTTTATACAGTTTAGATCTTAGGATATTGTTTGCAGCAGCTTGTAGACTTGAAGTAATCGGTGGATATGTTCCTGTTGGCCAATCACCTATATTCTTCTTTCCAAGAGCTGAAACCATGACAAAATAATCCATCTGTGGTCCGATAACCATTTAGTGTTGCTCACCTCCCAGTCCAGGACGTAGTCTGTTGTCATATCCGTCCAACAGCCTGTCAAGAATTCGGGTGAAAATGGTGATGTTGTCTTTACTGTCATCAGGCAACGGCTCTCTGTGTCCAATGACTTCCCTGCAGGGAGAGATCGGGGCAGAAAGGTTGGCTCAAAAAAATATAAATCATCTATTGTTTTGAGTTTGACCATTTTATATTTAATACAATCCACAGTTGTAAAAAATACTCGTCTCCCCGGTAAAAAACAATGGAGTCCACAATCCCCTGTTTTAACATTTCTCTCAGTCAAAATCTCTTGCATCGATCCGCCACAGGCTTCAATCAATATTTGGATAGTAAGTGGTTGTGTTTGCCTTTTGTTGTATTGGTCTTAACAGATTGAAACCTCAACCCTCAACCTCCTGCAGAACAATATTGTAATTCGATTTAATTAAGGCCTAAAAAAAGGCCACTGTACTGTAGGTGGAACGCTGATGAGTTAACTAGTAGTGTATATTAATTAAACCTAAACCCCTCAGAGGAGCTGACCTGTAATATCTAAATAAACCCCATTACGATGTGGCCCTGGTGCCGACGTGCCGTATCGTGCTGCTCGGTAAAGACGGAGCTTTGAGGAATGCAGCGCTCGAGGTCTGAATGTTGCTCAAAGGGAAGCTCTCCATAGCAAATCTATCTTCAATAGGAACGGCTTTCTGAAACTTAATGTGTCCTGTAATAACAACTCCATATGAGCTGCAACAACGTTAAAACGAAGTAGGTGAAGGTCACTACAACAGCTGTTCAGAGCACACAAGAATGTCCTGAAATAGTTTTGAGGCTTATGGGAAAATGTGCCTATTACATGGGCAATAAATACATGCATCAATCAAGCATCATGGCTTCCTCATGTTAAATGCATTTGTATTGATGGTAAAGGGGATTGTATTTCTATTCTATTTCTGTTACAGGAGCAATTCTTCTGACCGGGGATCAAACCACCAATCCTCTAATTGAACGGCAGCCCACTTATTTTCAATTTGAAAACATTTTGGGTTTTGTTTTGCTGGTTAAAGTTGTAATCCTCAACAGAAAGGAAAACACCACAACTGTTTGCTGAAACGTGAAACCCAACATGCCGTTAGCACCGTGACGCTGTGATGCCAATTGAGAAGACGGAAATCTTAAGAAATACAACTTTAATAAGAAAGTGCTGATTAGCCAGATGATGTCAGATATTCAAGGCTCTACATCTCCACTGAGACTAAAAAAATGTAACACCGAGCTCACGATTTGCACTTCATTGAGCAGAGCACAGTTTGATATATTCTGGTTGTCAAGAGTATAATTAAGCTCTGTCAAATGGGTTAGAATATGACTGCATAACAATGTAGTCTAATTACAATATATTCGAAAGAAGAATACATTTCGGGCTCATCAAAAAGAGACGTGTTCAAGGCAACTCAGGCAACAACAAATACAAAAAGCTTAAGAAACTTAAGAAAAAAGAAGCATCTGTGGATTGTCAAAAATGAATGAGAAACCTTTAGTCCCTCTGAAGCATTGAGTGTTCCACCCTAAAATAAATATACCCACCACAGGACAACAAAGTACTTGTGTGGTTTGTAGCATCTGTGTGCTGAAGTACACACGCACCCAAACGTCTTTCAGTAACGGCCAGCTGTTCAGATTCCCAGAGGGGGGCGAGGAAATGGCACATTCCCTTTGAATATGCCATCGTTATTTAAATACACTGGGTTTGTTTATCGAGCCGGCCGCTTGTTTTACTTCTTCAGCTGGCTGTTCCCAATACAGAAATTAAGGCAAGAATAGTGATTTACGTTCCTCAGCTATTCACACATAAAGAAAAACATTTAAAAGAACTCAGTCGGGAACGACGTTGTTGAATGTTGGTCAGAGTTTTGCCCACAGGACGACAAGTTGCAACGCAGGGCACAAAAGGTAAAGGTGCACTGACGAGATGTAAATCTACTCAACGTGGTGCTGAATATTAAATCCTGCATTCACTAAATATTTAGATCAGTCATGGGTTTTATGTAATAGATCATGTTAATTTGGTATAACACTATGCATTGAGTGTGAACTGGTTTGCTGGCTTTAAAAGTTAAGTAATAAAAAATATGTTAAAAATACATGAAATGTGTTTTGTGAGAACTGGCGTTGAACTGCTCTAATTAGCTCATCCATCAGCTGTGTGTCTCCCGCTGCAATGAAACGGTGGGTAAACTGCTAAGGGACCTCTGGGTCAGCCGGTTCATTTAATTCAGCTGAGGTGCACTGCTCTAACACTTGTTTCTTGGTCACGGATGTGAATTCAATGGGCCGAATATCATCATCACGATTGACAGAAAAGATTGTGCACCGTCTTATTAATTTAATGTATGTCGGATAAAGATCGAGCACGGGCCGCTGGCTATCGATGGGTCCATGTCGAAAAAAAAAAAGCGCATTTGCAAATCAAGCCACCGTCAGGGTAGTCTAAAAAAACCCACACATACACAAATGCGATCCACAAAAAAATATAAATAAACGTCGTAATTTATTTCTGTGCATTGGAATGTATTTGTAAATACTTCTTTGTGCATTTGTAAATTTTATATATTTGTGAAACTGCGCATTTGTGAATCTTTCTGTTTGCATTAGTGGGCCTTTTTGCAATTACTGCGACCGATCTGACCCCATAGGTAACAGCCAACCAGAGACAGAAGGGGGGAGGGCAGTAGGCAGTAGTTAGTTCGTCACTATCCGTTATTGGCCTTCCCATAATGTATGTGTGGGCCGAGGAGTCCGACTTGGTGGATGGCGCACGAACTGAATGAGTGGCTTTAGACCTGATTCAGGGTTAGTGCACTGAACCAGTGTGACAGGTTGGCTTTGCCAGGCAGGAGGTGTAGCGGTGGTCTCCCAGGGTGCGCGGACACGCTGTCGGCCAGGAGGGGTGTGGAGTAAGTGGGCAAGCGGGAGCAAAGCGGGCGGTAACGAGAGCTGTCGGGCGGGCGGTGTGGGATGAAGGTGCTTCGCGATTTGACAGCGATGGCAAATAGTTTAGCGAGGAGTGCCAGCTAAACGGCAAATGTGTGTTATTTTCATTGACTCATTTGACGCTTTTCATGAAGCCAGTTATTCTACCCCACTGCCTCTGGATGTTAAATATTTGAAGCCCAATGAAACAAAATCTTCTCCCCCCCCCCCCACCAACCCGGTGGCTCCAGATGGAGCTGCGTGAAATCTCATTGCCTCGAGTGATGTCACTTGAGTCAGAGCCGGTTATGGCTGAAGACTACAAATTTCAAAGCGAGGGGGGGAAAACTGGGGGTGTGGAGTCGGTGATGTTGCAGTGAAGGCGCTCCCGTCCCAACAAACACTCGGCTGCTGTTCATGCGTCTTGAATTCAGAGTGGACACCTCTGCATTCTGCCCGAACCACCTCATCTCGCTCTGTGAGTGTCGCCCTGAGAATCCCGGCGCGCGTACTCGGCTATAATGTGGCCGGGCGATGCACTCGCTGGACCGTCCCACTCCTCAGAGCAGAGGCCGACCCGAGAATCCAATGGAGGGGGATTAGTGAGGCTGCTCGGGGCGTTGAGGAAAAAGATGATGACTTGTCTTGACTGTGGTTGTCGGGGCACTGGTTTATTTATTATATGTGGCAACAAATATTTAATTGCATTTTCCTGTCATCTGAATCCCACAATGGAGGGGGGGGGGGGTGGAGGGAAGGATATTTCTAATTAGCACGTTCTTGATTAATAAATAAATAGTAAATTCCAAGCTTGAATTCATGCATGTGTTAACCTTTGCAACATAACTAATCTTCCTCACCAGGTCCTCCCGCTCATATTTCCTCGTCTACCAACAATATACCGATGATGTTATGCAGCAGGCGCATTATGCAGCATATTGTCCCTTCGCAATGGAGGGCTTGTAACATTCAAAGCCTTTGAAGTATGACTGATTTTTCTTTGTTTACGCTTTCCACTTGCCTGTTTTGTGCAGATAATACGCACGTGGGGAGAAACTGAAGGGGTTGATCGTTGCTATGTGTGGTAGCTTTGGCTGAATCCAGACGTCAACTGTCAAGTCCCTTTTTTAGTTTACAGGACAAGCATTCATATTTTATATATTTCTTCACTTGATCAAACCTTTATTTTTATTTAAAGAGTTTGAACGTCACAGCAGTCCACATATGACAATGTTGGTCTTGCCCTTTTTGGCCTAGACTGAAATATGTGCTGCAGCACATATTGCCATGACTCTTTCCTCGTGAAATGAGATTTACATGTATTCATGTTCCTCTCTGGATGAATTGTAATTAGGTGGTGAGTCACTGAATAATAAAAAAAGGCCTGTAAAACGAATTACACTCCCATCACCCTCAGCTACACGTGCTATACTTAGACGGTGAGCAAGGTCAATGTTACACCTGCTTAAGGATCTTAGCATCGCTTTAGTGAGATTGTCAGAATGTTGCAAACATTTATGAAGTGATTGGCTGTCAATTATTAACCTTTTCGTATTAGCAAACTCTATATGGCATCGCTCACTTCACCTGCAATGGACAAGGATGGATGGCTGCTCTTATATAAGATTCATGTTCTGCTTCTTTGCCAGATGTTTAGATATTACCTCCTTGTGAGGGTTTTGTTGCATTAGTGGCAACGAAAGTTATCAACATTATACTTGGGTAAAATGTATCCAAGGGTCCGATGTTTTTCTCCTCTCATGACGTGTGTCTGTACTGACCCAGCGCTCAGTAAACGCTAAGCACAATCCGACCGCCGCGCAAAGATGGGCACAGTGTCACAGAGAGGAGGTTTTCTGTGGAGATCTCACAGAAGTACTTTTAAAGTACCGGTAGCAGAACCAGGATTTTTAATAGTCCTTATTTTTTTACAAATGTAACAATGTTTCCCGTTTAGAACAGAGTTACGGGGGGCATCGCTAAAAACAAGTACCAGAATGGCACACTCACCACAATCACAAAGGTGTGAACCGAATTAATTTGGTTGAGAACTGAGCCAAAACCAACTTCTAACAGCAATATCGTGTATTCATCACAAACAAGTAGGTGGTGTAAGTCGGTTCTAATAGGATCAGGCGATCAAAAAAAGTGGTTGAACC